TCTCTCTCTCTCTCTCTCTCTCTCTCTCTCTCTCTCTCTCTCTCTCTCTCTCTCTCTCTCGAGGCCTGAGAGCCGGTCAAACAAGAATAAAAGTTGATATAAAAAGATGATTGAAACTAAAGTACCACATGTTAATGCACCAACAGACCACAAGGAGGTACAAAGAATAAAAGAGAATGTTCATTGATAAAAGAATTCATAGAAAGATGAATGATGAAAGATGATTTTAGCATGAGCCTGGGGTCTGAGTAGGTGGTGAATGCTCTGTACCTCCACCATGGTCTGGTTCCCACGCAGGGCCAGCAGCATGCAGGGACCCAGCTTGTTTTCAGCCAGCGAGAGCAGGAACTTCTTGGTCTTGTAGCAGGAGCCCATCAGGATATGGACCTGGAGAGGAAGAGGAGAGCCAGTTATTATGTCCCACGCACTAGCAGCTGAATTGAACTCTCTGTGTGTCTCCGTACACTCACCATGCTGGCAAACAGCTCTCCATCGTCATCACAGGCCACGCCTCCCGGACTGTAGAGCTGGAACCAGCCGTCTTTACCTGAACGCACGCTGAGTAGGCAGGAATGCACCTGGAAAAAAACACATTTGTCTGTTGGTGAATCTCTACAAAGATGTGCTATGAGGCTGAAGCGGTGGTGAAGCTGCAGAAACACACACTCACCTCCTGCCTCGGGTCCTCCGCAAACCTCTGAATGACATATTTCAGTTCCCTGTTTGTTTGGACAGAAGCATTAAGACACAAACGTCAGGTTGTTTTCAAACTGGAATCATACTGAATCTGAAGGACGTCGTTTGGTGTCGGAGGTACTTACTTTGTGAATTTGGCATGTGCAAGGGCCCTGAAGAGAGGGGGAGATGTGAGAGGTTAGAGCCCAACACTCTGAGCCCAGCAGGGAGATACAACTAATGTTCATTCAATGCTTTTCTAGCAGTACGGCTCACAGTGTACACCAAGAGGTCAGTTTGTGCTCCTTCTTACAGGACGTCAAGCTGATGACAACATGTGACTTCATATTGATAGCCAGAGGGATCAGAGGGAGGGTAGAGCTCTTTCTCAGCACACAAGGCACCAGCTTGTGAACTTGTAGGAATTGTTTGTTACATTGGATGACATTGTAACGATCATTATAATTATTTCATTAGCAGTTGTAAGATGCTGCTGTGGTGATACCAGGTCAGAGAAATGGATGCTATGGATACAATCCCTCATGTTCCAGGTCTTTCTCTGGTTGTACTAATATATCAGCAGTGACGCTCATCATTATACACAAGTAAGCATATGTCCCCAAAAGAACTGGTCCTTTAGAGCTGTAAGAAGTGGTCCGAGCATGAGGACATGAGGAGAAAACTAGTTACCTAATAACAGACGTGTGTTCCTGCATGTGTGTGCAGGAGCTCACGTGAGAATGTTAGTGTGTGTGTGTGTGTGTGTGTGTGTGTGTGTGTGCGCGCGCCTCGTGCACTGATGTGACTCATTATATCCTTAGCTACAGGCTGCTGGGGGGTATTGTTGCCTTTCTTAATGACGCCCGAAGCCATCGACCCGGCAACAGCGGCGCAGGTGAGCAACAGGTGCGTCCCAGCGTTGGAGGAACAACAAGTCGTCCGCCAGCCATTATCCAGCTAATGAAGCTCTGGATCAGCCAGCCAATTACCAACAAGAACCCGGAGCTGGTTACAGCCAATTATGGTGGGCTCTCTGAGGAGAGAGAGAGATACGGCCCCTCCAGTTCCTGACCCCCAGAGGTGTGTTCAGGTACCTCACCCACGTCAGAAGCCAGGCCCCAGCAGAACCCTCCTATCAACATGCACACACCCCCGGAGACAGTGATGTAAGGGAGGGGAAGCAAATGAGCAAGGAGGCCGATACAAACAGCCATAAACATTATATGATTATGGTTGTGGTGTTTTTGGACGGCTCTCAAAAGGCCTCGAATCCGCATTTCTCCAAAACAGCGTTTAGGCTTTCAGGAGACACTAAAACATAGTATACTACTGCAAGTACTGCAAGTACTGCAACTTTTAGGACTTTTTCTAAAAGAAAGCTGGTGAAATGTCAGTCTTCTTCTCTTCTCTTCCATGTACATGTGTACCTACAGTGATGGTGTACTGGGGTTCAGTACTGGGCCTCAAAGCATCTGTTGTAGACACAGCAGAGAGATGAAGCTGCTGTTAATGTGCTGCTGTCACTAACTCAGGCTGTGCACACGTTGTGGAAGCCCTCAGCACACACACACACACACACACACACACAGTGTCTAATCTGAGTCCAGGTTGGATATAAATAGCATTAGACGTGTAAACAGACACATTAATAATAGCACCTTGCATCTCCCTAAAAAAACAACTGGAGCACTATTTCACTTTTCCACGTTGGTGGTACTTACTGTACTTAAGTACAATTTTGAGGTACCTGTTCTTACTTGATAATGATTAATACTATGCAGTAGTATATATGCATCAACATGAAGGCATCGGTGTTTTGAGGAGACTATTATCTTCTCAAATACTTAATTACTTACTTACTTGTACTTACAAACAAGACATATGATGAGTTTCTGAAATTGTTAAAGATTAAATGATCCAGCAGGACATGAGGTAGGAAGGTACAATGAGCTCCACCTCAAGCCGCTACAACACTAAATATGTAGAAAGACAATCACACACTTCTGAGCTCTACTGGAGGAGATAATGATAATATAACATACGATAATATAACATACGATAATATAACATACGATAATGTAGCATACGATAATGTAGCCTACGATAATGTAGCA